CGAGCCTTCCAAGACCATCAACAAAATTATTGACCGTGTAAAAATCGTAAAGCAATGGTAAACCACCCCCAAAGCCCTTGGAGGATGGGGTGGCGCCTCAAACCACATAGGGAGCCGTGTCGACGTGTCCCCAAGAGAGTCCAACCTAGCCAACACTACGGAGTTCGGGTGGTTTACAAGACACCCCTGACGATGTTTCTCCCTTCCAAACTCCCTTCCAATATATACCACTGCTGGAAATTCCATCCCCTTGTTGATGTCTGCTTTCTTGGACATGGCCCACTGGTCGAGGGGTCGAGGGGACCCATAAATACTGGGGGTCACCTCGGTCCGCTCGAGCCACGGCATCGCCATCATACGCAGCTGGCAGCAATTTGGAGCAAACTGCTTTTTAAGTTATGTAATTAATGGATCTCTAATTTAATACAGCTGCATGTTTTCGTAATAGTTTTATAATTTTTGTGTGAACGACTTTTAGCGTCTTGAATGTTCGCCCCTCAGTACAAATCCCATCGAGCCCAATTGAGGGCATTTTCTTGGCGAGTTCTTTGGATTCGCGTTGTTGGGAGAGACATTGAGTGATGGCCGACACATCCAGCTTTTACCCATGCATGGTGACCAATGCAGCGACCGTCGAGGCCGGATAAGGCAAGCTTCCACACATTCTGCGCCTTTCGCTGCGTACCAGCATCACCTGGGTGGATCTGTTAGCGTTTCGCTTTCCGTTTCGGTTAGGCCAGAACGGACTCGGTGGACTCGGTGGACTCGGGAAAGTAGAGGTTGTCACCAACCAGAAGTCACAGCTTCGCTTCTCCTCGTCCCTTCGTCCCTTCGTCCCGGGTTTTCACCGGTGTGACGTGTTTTTTGGCACCGAAGAAACGGCACCCCGGGTGGGATCGGCCACGGGTTGGCACCCCCGGATCTGGAACTGGATCTGAAAAGGGGGGTTGGCACGGTCCGGACCCCAAACGCTCCGTTCACAGGCCGATCTGGTCCCTCAAAATGATAGGGATTGGTTCGGGTCCGGACCCCTCCATATGAAGGTACGGCCCCTACTTAGCAGGGTCCATGAGCGTCTGGGTTGTTGAGTTTCTATCCAACACTTTCTGTACCCGTTGTCCACCAGTTGGGCTTTGGAGTGGGGTGTCCCCAATCCCTCAAAATCCTTCAAAAGGTGACCTGCAGGCGGTCCCCGTACTTCCTCATTAGCTGCAACTGTCAATCTCGGCTGCCCAGGTGCACATCTCACGAGGTGTGGTGGGCGAGACGATCGAATGGCTCGCGAGGGTTCTCGAACTCTTGGTCTAGGCAAAGAATGGCGCTGATTGACAGCTGTTCCACCGCCCTATTTGCAAGGTGGGAGAGATTCTGAGAATTCCTGGAAGACAGATCCTCACACGTGCACCAATCAGACACCAATCAGACTCATGCAATGAGAAACGATACCATTGAAAAGGGGTTCCTAAATGGGTCCAGGACATATGTGGCTTTTAGCTTGCATGCCACAGCCTTTCCTGCCAAATACTTGTGAACATATTGATCATCGGGCACGAACTTCAGCGTGCCCCTGGATAGATCTGTCTGTGGGTGGATATCCAAACACCCCGTGCTTCAGTATTTTTTTCAAGGTTTGACTTTAAATCCATGCATCCCCATGAACTCGACTCTACTGTACACCCTTCAAAAAGGCTTCAGAACCTGCTTGCGCAGCAAACCTGTCTGGTAGATTGATCACCTACACAGTGGAACTCATGAAGGTCAATGTAGCAACGCTCTTGAGCTGTGCAAAGTCGCTGCAAGCAACAAATAGAAAGAGACGAGATGACCGGCGTCGACTGGCTCTGAGCATCAAAAACAGCCAGTACCATGAGAAATCTTGTGAGAAATGCTAGCATGGGCCACCTCCAACGCACTGAACAAAACAAGATCTACCGGACAAAACATTACAAACATTCACACGTTAAAAATGTTTAAAACTGCTGGGACATGCTGAAACTCATAGTTTCGTGGGGGAGCACCTCCATGACTCACAGCCTTCCTAGGACACCTAGAGGCCTTGGCAGCGGGGGGGGGTTGTGGACCATTCTGGGTCACATCTGTGAGGAGCTGAGTAGATGGAATGATGGAATACCGGATCCAAGCACAACTGTTGCAACCGGTCACCGGTCACCTGCGCAAAGGGTTGAGGAATCTGCGTAGGAATACTTATATCCTAGGGATCCAGTCGTACCTTCTCAGGTGATGTGTTCGACACTGTCACGGAGGTTTGGAGGGTTCCAGTCGTACCTTCTGTTCGGTACGACTGGATCCCTAGGGATAGAAATGTCCATGCCATTCCATTCCCATCTTTGCCGTGGAGCCAACTCACAGAACCCATGGTCAGCGATCAAAGCATGGGTTCCCAAGCAGTGAACACGAAAGCCTGCTGAACTCCCCAAAGCGGCAGCCGACGGTTTCTTTGGGGTCGCAGCCAACGGGATCCACAAGAGACGCTGCAAGCAGCAAAGCCGAGCTGTTTGAGACACACGTACGTTGGCATACGGTCGCTATAATTTATAAGGATCGAATAAGGATCCAAGGATTGATGACATGTTTGCGAATGAGGATGAATGAGGGAATATGAGGGAATGACATGCTCTCAATTTCAATGGTCTATATTTTAATCCCCTCTCAATGGTCTAAATGGATCCCTCTAGAGACCTACCCATCTGGATCGACTTCACTCTGACAGCGTAGGAGTCTTCTATGAACAAACCGCGAGCACACGGCGGGCGCGCACGGCGTGGGTGGCGTGAGGCGCAGAAAGACTGTAGGATGGTCAATTGGAATCAAGAATCTGAATGGGCACAGTAATTCGTTCCTCTTTCCGTCAGCGAGTACCTTCTTTTGAGACACAACCACATTCCGAAATGGAATCCAGAGTGCCAACGAAGCATTCTGCGAAGCCACTTCTGACATCTTCTGACCAACCTTTCAAGTCCTCCTGCGCCCCTGCGCCCAGCACGTTGAGCGGGTGACAACTCTGGATCAGCGAGAGCAGCCGGCCAAGGATCAAAAAAACTAATCGATCAAGAAAAGGAGATTAAGCTAGTAGAAGGAGCCCAACTGTGGGGAAGGTGAGCAAACTATGGAACCAATGTAGGCAGGTTCATGCAAGACGTCCACCTACCCTATAGTGAGAAGTGTGTTCGTAGTTCCGAACAATATAGTGAGACGGTGACAGTCTGTGGTTCACAACATGTTCACAACTCCAGTTGCTGGAAAACACGCTTAAGTTCAAATAAATCAATAAGAACACAAACACAACATCGCAGGATTCCCCTCCTTCGACTCTGAGTTCCAAGCAGTTCAAAGAACCGAAAGAACAACATCCAGCAGGTTCTGAGTTTCAATCTGTCATGCTCATGGAGGGGAGCCTGTTCTTTCATGCTTCTCAAAATCCCACAAATCGTCACATATTCAAATTGATCAGCATCGTCAAATCGACCCTGGCCTTTCGAGGTGACCGAACTACATCCTGGTTTCGGCCATCACTTGGACCTGTCAAAGTTCGGTCCACTTGGACCGGTCTGTAATCGATAGGGACTCCATGAAGACACTGGTCACGAACTGAAGAAACTGGTCTGACGACAACTGTGTAGTTCGGAAGCGAGAGAGCTCGCAAATCCTCCCCGACGCATGGAAAGAACGAATTTCCATGGTCTAACATGGAAACTAGTAGTAACAAGTGCCACGCTAGTAGTAACAAGTGCCACGCTAGTAGTAACAAGTGCCACGCTAGTAGTAACAGGTGCCGCGCTAGTAGTAACAGGTGCCACGCTAGTAGTAACAGGTGCCTTACTAGTAGTAACAAAGAAGCTAGTCTCCAACAAATCCTCCCCTCTGATTTCCTTCGTTTCGTGGTCGAACCGTCCGGAGCAGGTTCCAACTCGTTTTCACTCGCGGGACATTCATCTGACGTGACTCGATGCAACCCCGCCCCTAGGGCTCCAGTCGTACCTCCTCAGAAGGTATGACTGGACCCTCCAAACCCACCCCAGTCCCACCTTCTCAGAAGGCCCTTGGAGCCCTAGGGTGCAGCATCTGGAAGACATGTGGTTCTTTTGATCTTTTTTGGAACAAAAAGCTGCACCACCCTCCACCAGCTGCAGACAATGGAGCCGACCCCAGATGGTGCCCGTGTATTTTCTGGAACCTCCCAAATAAGCAGATCCACCGAAACCTGATCCAAAGTGCCGTTCGATCCGATCCGGCCGCCGCTTGAGAGACCTCCAAGGCTGACACGAACAAATCTGAGGTGTGGTCCAAATGTGACAAAGAAACATGATAAGTCAAGGGCCATCCCCTCCAATGAACGAGATACTTCATCAGGCAGCCTGGATTGTAGGTCTTGTAGGTGGATCTCTGGGTGGCCTTGCTTTAGGGCATGTTGTTGGATCTGAACAAATTGAAACAGAATCTCCTGTAGGACTGTAGGACATCATCATCTGAGACACAGACAAGAAAATACCACACCTCATGAAGAATCCCTTCCCCGATCATCTTCTCCCCCATCATCTCCCCAGCAGTTCACTTTTGCTTTCATTGACCCTGGGGAGTGCTGGATGGAAGGGATTGATGTGGAGACTGGATGAGACTGGAGCTTCTGAAAGCTCACTCAACGAGTCGACTCTTTGAAGACACACCAACTTCGGCGGTGAAATCAATTGATGTTCTTGGGGGTGCTCAAAATTAAGTGACTGTGAACAAAAAAAACAACTATATAATACTATATAATTATAGAACCCCAACGAGATAGGCCTGCTGAGAATTCCCCAGGTTGGGACTGTTGACTATTCGGTTCACATTTGGAATGTGAACACTTCAGCTGGCTGCAGTGCAGCCTTCATCTTCATCAGTGCATGGAGAGACTCAGTCCAACATAGCCCAACATTCCATGTGGAAGAGGACAAAGCTATGCACTATTTGTGAAGAACTTTTGAATGTTTATCCTCTGATCTCTTCAGTACTCCTTCGCTTCTTTCTGCCCTTGCTGCTGTCAGGCTGTCAGGTGGTCGTGGTAGTGGGTGGTGTCCTTCCTCCCGAACTCTGGCGTGCCCGAGTTGGACGGAAGAGGCTCCGCTCAGCGGCTCAGGAGCTCAAAACCGAGCCAAAGACCACCAGTGCGAAAACGCCTCCAGCGGCCAGCCATAGCCTCACGCGAGCAGTGAAACCAGTTCTCGAACTGGGACAAGCGACCACGGGCGCGGTACTTCCAACCACTTTTGCGGAGAGATGGTACCCTAAAGACCTCCAAAACAGCAGCATGTGAATGAATAGCAGCGCAGCTAATCCACGTTTCTTGGGTAATTAGTCCATAATAAAACGTCCCTTTTTGAGTCCTTTTTTTGGGGGAATGACCGTCTCAAGCCTTCTGAACCAACACCGTGGTCACCGAACAATCCGATGCATCCCAGGAGGTTCGGTCACCAGGTAGTTCTGCCCTGAGCAATTATTGGTGACCAGTGAATCTGAGCTTTACCAAGGTTGTCCTGGGATGAGCAAGCTTGAGAAGGGCATGCTAGCGAATGACTATTGCAAATAGATCATGCCTGGTAGATGCATCCTGTCTGGCAATGAACCCAAGAGGAACACCTCCAACTCTGACTGGGCCTCCTGTGGATACATTGCTGAGATGTTCAACATGTCATCCTGCCCCTGCGGATCGATCGACGGTTCGATGTTGAATGGCCCATGCCGTGCCTTCTCTTCAGCTTTGAGGCCATATTGTACTTGTCGGTGTACTCAATCTCCTGCCAATGGTTCGGAAATATGGCCCCTGGTTTTGAAACGGTGGGCACGGGCAGAACAAATCTTGAGTGAAAAAAAAGCAGTGTTTTCAGTTTCTTGTTGTGTGTGTTTTCGTTTTTCTGGTGGAGAAAGACTGAGACATGATTTCAGGGCAGAAGTAGACACACGAAAAAACAAATAAACACCCTCTCTTTAGGATCTTTAGGCTAAACATATGAGCGACACCTCAATACCATTCGCTAAATCCGTCTGATCCACATCAAACATCACAAGCAGGGCAGGCTTTGAAATAGAAATGATCAGCTCACTAAAACAACAACCCGCCATATTTTGCTGATCTCACTCTAATGTAGACTTGTAGACTCTTGAATATAATATCCCCCGCCCGTATGAAGAGCCTTTTGAATTGGGAGATGTTCAACATCAGGAGTCGACATGAAACAGTTAATATTTGTAGGATGTAGGACTCTTGGAAGGTTCTGCCGTTTTTGGTTGCCTTTGGATCCCCTAGAATGTCCCTCCCTTCCGTCCGGAGCCGACGTCAACCGCCCTCACCTCTCTGCCGCGCTCCACGTCAGCGGCTGCTCGAGCCATGTGGCTCTCCTTGGCGCCGGCCGACGCTCCGCGTCCATCGAGCCGAGGGGTTTGGACCTCGGAACCTCGCCGACCACCTCTGAGCCGACCACCGAGGAAAGGTACCCAAATGCTCCATTGGGTCCATTGACAGTTTGGGAGGTCAATCTATAGGCATATATTCCATACATGGAGTCTATGGGGTATGTACGGCTGAGGTAAAAAATCGAACCAGCCTCGCGATGTTATTCTGGCTGGCACAAAGTCGGAGATGGCGAGCCATCCCCCCTGCACCCCGTCTCATGTGCTCGTCTTTTGAAAAAGAAGTCATACAGTGTCATACAAACACATCACTGGATCATCAATGACCCATGAGTGGACAAACTCTGGGACAAAAGCCTATTGGATCCTATTGGATTGATGCCTAAGTAACCCTAAACAGGTGGGAGTCTTTCTCCACAGACGCGTGACAGGTGACACCACGAACAACCGGTTCTTGGGGCCCACGTTCTGCACTGTCCTGACGCATCGTTTTTCACCGATGGAAAGGCTCTTAAGGCAAAAAAACTCGGGGAAGCCAGGCCGGAAGAACAGGCCCAAGACACTGGAAGAGGACACAACTAGACTATATAGACCATTAGACTACTGTATAGACTACAGCACTTGGATGGACGAATAGGACCTGAAGAGACCCGAAGAGACCTGAAGATCGACCCGTTTCCTTCGGTGACTTCCTTCTCGTCGGTCTCTTCTCGGCAGACTCCGGAGACCACGGTGACGACTTGGATCCACCCGCGCACGTGCGCGCCCGCGCGCGGAAGGCTATAGGAAAGCTAACATGTTCTTTGGGCCACCGGGTAGGACCGGATAGGAAATTCCATCTCCAAGGGACTAAGGAGTCAAAGGTCGAGGCTTGCTCTTCCGCTGCTGTGGCCTTAGTGCTGCGGTGGCGCTTCGCTGCTTTCGCTTCGCTCCCCTGAAACAGGTGCCGGTGGAGAAGGAAGGAACCGGATCGAATTCCATGGAATCCCGACACCCACAGGGAACATCTTGACGTGTCGATGTAGAACCTTGATTGATCAAAACCCCCCACAACAACATGGATTGTAAAACCTCTTCGAGCTTGGGGTTGAAAAAAGAAGACCATCAAGAGCCTACATTACATACCCTATAGGGATCCAATCGTACCTTCTCAGAAGGCACGACTGGACCCTCCTGGCAGCCACCCCAGTCCCACCGAACCTGAGAAGGTAAGACTGGATCCCTAGGGATATGGTGCCATGAGTCATGGCACCTCCATCACCATGGCGCATGGTTTTCGGTTGGCCTCATTTGACCATTTTTGACCGACCTGTTCGCTTCGCTGAAGTGCTCAGTGTCAGGTCCCGGTCCGTGCTCAGCACATCTCAGCACTACTCGATGAAAGGCGACCATGTATGCATTTCGAATTTCTGCCTCGTCCATCCATAAGAGTTGGAAGGTAAGCATTCTGCATAGTTGGAAGATCCAGGTATGAACACAATTTTTACAGTGGTTTTTGGCGTCTCCTTTTCCGTCCCATTCTTCTACATAAGCTGGACATTCATTTGTTGTGCCTGAATCTGCAAACATAGACTCTTAGGGGGTGTTTGTTTGATCAGCTGGAGTGTGAAAGTATAGCTATAGGAAATACATTCGATGTCCAACTGAAAGCTCGTTGAACACATCTAACAAACGATAGCAAAAACACCCTGCAACCGACATGAACATGCAACTGGCATTGCTGCATGGGAACATGTTTCTTCGGGGTCTTAGAAGGAACCCATCAGGAGATGGAACCCACAGTGTAGGAGGGTTCTTGGTGCAACCAACCAACCCATTAGCATTGCTAAGTTTGGAGTTTGTAGAAGTGCCCCCCAAAAACACATTAAAGTACAGTAAATGCAATCTCTGAATCACACGTAATTCCGTGAGGCCTGTTGCACACACCAAGTTTTTGGTTATGTTCTTGGGGGAGTGAACCCTACTGCAGCGATCTCAACTCTCAAACGAGGGGCAAGATCAGTGTAGATCCGCTGAAGACACAGCATGTCCTCCACTGAAAACGCAGTGCGGGGCCGCTGCGTGACGCCGAAACATGCGTGAATCCCAAAGTTCCGTATGTTGATGTCCGAAAAGTAACTATACCCGGAGGATGAACATGTGATGGACATCACGAAACCATCTACCTGGAGTGTCCAAGTGCCTGTGACGACGACAGTATCTGATAATGTTGGTACAGTGTATCAGTTTAGGTACAATGCACATGCCCCACCTGCAATGCAATACTCCGCTCGTGCTACTTTGGAGACTCGAGCCCTTTCCTCATCCACCTTCCGCAAGGTCTGTACTTTGTCGCTCTGCAGGACCGCCTGACACCGGAGGACAGCGGGTTGCGAAAAGCACGGAGGTTCCCAAAACAAACGACGGTTCGGCGTGAAAATGCCAAGGTCGGCATGGGGGTGAGACTGCGCTCCGCATGGATTTAACATGATCTAACCCAAACACAACCTGTCTGGGACTGGCATATGTAATATGTACCATATTGTGCTATCCGCCTGGGGGAGCGCGCCAAAGAATCACCGCGTAGCTCAGCCGTCAGAAAGCGACGTTTGGAAGTGACCGATCAGCTTCGAGGACAAGTTTTGGGTCATTGTTTGGTGTGGAGATCGTTTGTGAAAAGCTGTGGTGAGGCAGATTGCCGGGAGCCTTGAGATTGGCTCTATGGATCTCGGGACTAGAATGGTCCTATATGGGTATAGAGAAGACTAACTTTAGTGCTTCGAGGTCAATTTTGTTGTTGTTTGACGTGGCCAGCTCGAGCCCAGGCAGCCAAGCTGGGTCTAGAGGATAGCTTTAAACAAATTGAAGAATGATGTGATGTATTACTGTCGTCAGAAAGCGACGTTTGGAAATGACGGATCAGCTTCGAGGACGGTCATTTCACGTGGCATTTGACGTGGCCAGCCTTAAAGAATTGTTGATTTCTTACTGCCGTCAGAAAGCGACGTTTGGCAGTGACCGATCAGCTTCGATGACAATGTTTGGATCATCTTGTGCGTGAAATTAGATTGTGTAAAGCTGTGGCGAGGCAGATTGCCGGGAGCCTTGGGATTGGCTCAATGGATCTAAGGGCAGCTATGGACAATTGTTTGGTCATTTTTTACGCGGAATTGTGTAATGGGTCTAGAGACTGGCTTCAGAGCTTCGAAGACAACTTTTGTTGTCATACATGGCTAGCCCTAAAGAATTGTTGATTTCTTACTGCCGTCACTCCGGTGACCAGTTCGTGGAGGTGTTGCTCGGTCTCTGTAGTGGTCCCCAATTTACAACTTTATGGGTATTCAGAAGCGGTATTCATTATACTTTTGACAGCAGGGTCTATGTTTTTCAGCTGCTTGGGGGTCTATGTAAGGGTAGGTCGATGTTTCACAGAGAGGTTTCCGAACTTTGGAGGGCTCCAACACCGTGGGGGTTGGAGTCAAAACAGCTAGCGCAGCTTCTCGTTTCAAACAGCTTCGTTGCTGGAAAAAAAAACGATGTCCCATCGCCTAGCTGAAGAAGATCTGGGGTTCTTGAAGAGGAGTTTGACATAGTTAGACAATTATATACTGACAAGTAAATATGACCCTCCACGGGGTAACAACACACTCCCCCTTATTATGGGGATGCAAAAGCCATGCTAAACTAACCATAAAACCAATACTGCTTGGAATGCTTGGACCCATAGTAAATAATACACCGTATCTAGCCCTGCGATGCCCTGATCCCTTCTTCTCACCCTGCGACTCACGTGACTCACGCCGTCCCCGTCGTCCCCGCGGCCTCCATCGTTCCATCGTGGCCGCTCAGCAGGGGCTTGTCGTCGCCGCCGGCCGCGTCCGCCGCCGCGATGCCGGTGGCCTCGCCGCTCCACGAGGCGCTCGGAACAGCGGGGCGTCGAATCTTGTCGCATTGGGCGACTGATCCGACTGGATGGGGGGGGGAACATCTCTGCAAGCAATGATGTTTCTTTCAGGCATGTCAGGAGAATTGTGTTATATTGGATGGGGATGATCTCTACATACGGACACGCCTCTACTGGTACTGTGGAGCAAGGGTTCACTTGCCGTCTATCCATTTGGGTATATACTATTTCTACGTAAGCGATCAGCAAAAGCATGCCTGGTGAGCATCCGATCAGAATGAAGAGAAATACCAACGCAAACCTCTTTACGAGGCCCATGATACCGAATCCACCGCACTAGAAGGGTCTGTATCCCACATTGGATCCACAGACGTTCTGAGAAGGTAAGTATAGTCTAGTACGTAGTAGGAGAATAAAACCACCAAAAAGGAATCAATCATCAATCATCCTTTAAACAAAAAATAAAACATCCTCTTCTGGGAGTAATTAGATGTAATTCGTAGCATCAAATCACCTCAACAAGCCACCCCCAAAGCTTCCTCCGCGTCTTCCGGTTCTCCGGTTCGGACCTCGAGCATGCCGCCGCTCCGCCGGCGTTCCTCGGCGTTGAAGCGTCTCACCACGTCCTCGCCGCGTTCCGCCGCGTCGCCCGGCGGAGGGGTGGAGGGACCTCTGGAGGTGGGTCGAAAAAAGGAAAAGCGCCCCAACACACCATCAACCAAGGTCCAGTCTGACCCCAAAGCGTCCTGAACACCTCATAACACCTCGTCCTGTTGGTGCAGTAGATCGTGTTGATTTGGGATATGACCAAGTCCAGTCCCAATGAGGTGCACCTGACCGGGATAGGGCTTGTTTATGTTTTTACCCAAGGATTTGAGACAAGAAAAACTCCGGAGGTTGAAGAAGCTGACTTCGACCATCCCAGTTCGGTACCCCAGTAAGTAGGGTCCTAATAAGGTCACTCCTTAGGTCACTTGACCTCTCTTGGCCTCTTTGGTCCAACCACCGGAGCTCAGCGACCCAAGGGAAGCGAGAGAGCACCAAGCTGGTGTGTGTTTAGAGATGAAGAGGCAGTGTTTAGGTGTTTAAAGGTGTTTAAAAGTGTTTATGTGCGTGAAAGTAATACAGCAATACTTTACACATCTTGACGCCAGGGCGTTCTGTTTTTCAAAAAAAAAGTTCAGGCATGTTCAGGCACACCCACAGTGATGGACGTTCTGTCATCGCTTCACCGAACCGGTGATGCGATCATTTCAGGATGGGTGACAGGGCATTCCAAAGGGATCCAAAGGGATCCAAAGGGATCCAAAGGGACTCCAAAGGGACTTGAAGGGTGAACCTTGCAATTTGATCTCAGACCACACCAAGCAAACCTGAATAGCAAAGCAAGTTCCAAGACTTTCTGTAGATTCCAAGTTAAAAGAAACCACCCCCTCATCCTGGCACTTCAGGTGAACTCCAACTCCCCCCTTGGAACTTGGAACTTGTGTGTCCTCAACTTGTGGAGCCTCCATCGACTCGACCTGACCGCACCCGCGACGGGTCCTCAAGCACTCGGGCGGTGATGGCCAGGTTGTCCGAAAGCTTCTGGTACCTTGCAGATATAAAGAGAGAGAGAGAGAGAGGAAAGAAAAGGCTTTCAGGAGCCAAAGAATGGTGAGTACGGTGAGTAAGGTTCTTCTTGCTTATCCCTGGCAGTCATACCGTCATACCGTATTACTTACATGTATTGACGATGACAAATGTAAGATCTAGGTCTGTGGTCGCATGCTTTACTTGGGGGGGTCGGTGGTTTTCAACCTTGAGGTTCACATCGATACAGTTGGACCACCCACCGGCGCCAGCTGTTCACCGGTCCACTCGCCGATGGAACATCCCAGGCACTGGGAACCACGATGGCAACGACTGTGTTCAGAACCGTGTTCGGCACTCTTGGCAAACTCTTCCACGACCGGTCCACCCTTTCCCCCGTGTCGCCCGTCGCAGACCGCCTGCCCTGCAAAGGTGCGCCCCGGACTGGGCAGCCCCGGCATCATCCGGCGGTTGTTCCGCTCGGCGGTGTTCTGCGCCTGGTGCTGATGCTCTCGGATCCGCGCCAGGATGGTCTTCGTCTCCGAGGCCTTGTCGGCTGGGTCCACCGGAGGCGTTGGGTCAAACACCGGTCATGCGAGACATGAAACCCGAAGCATTTCGTGTAAAGCAAACACAGTACTAGACACAGTATAAAGCAGGAAAACGCAGGTTATTTGATGATGGGATCCAAGTGCAAGCACCTGGAAGGGCAGCAATATTCAGGCAGTGCGCCGCACCAGTTTAACCAGTCCCGTGACTAACCCTTACTATAAGTCATACAAACAAAGCATGCGTTATCATGCGATACTTGTATTATATCTAAAACTAAAACTAGTATACAGAATCTATGATTCCCATAAAAAAAAGCCAACTGCATTTGTTACACAGTTATCAACAGTTTACAATTTTTTTCTGAAATGGACTATAACATGTTGGTGTTTGTTCGAACAGCATCATTGTTAAATCAATCAGCAAAAGTTTAAGCTCAGATTCACCATATTCAAAAGCTAGCATCACAAAGAAAGGCGACTTCAGCGCCCAGTTCCCTGGGGCGTTCCACGGCGTTGCCCCCCTCCGGAACCTCGTCTCTTGGGGTTCGTAGGTCTGACCCTGGGGTCACCGATCGCTGCCGCAGCACCATGCTCTTCATACCGATCCACGCTCGCACTCAACGGTTTCGGTATGTTTCGGTTGCCACGGCCGCTTGGACGAGCGCGACACAGAGGTTCAATGGAAGCTTTCTGACCTCCCTCATAGCTTGCTTCCGGAAACTTTGAATGCCTTCCCGGGCCTGTACGACATGGAAGACAAGCCACAGATCCCCAAACAAAAACTATATGGAAGTGCTGGGGTAGTGTTCTTTGTTCACAGATCCCCCAAAAAAGCTAAAAGTGATGGGGTATCGTTCTTTGTCATCCGTTTTCCATCGTTGTCCTTCTCCTTCTCCATCCGTGTGCAACGCCGCAGGGAGTCCCAAGCGCCCGCCTGTCGGACGGCATCGTCGACCATCTTCCGGCAGTGCTGAAAGTCCTTCTCCGCCTTGTGCGGGTCGCAGCACTTGAACGTATTGAACTGGACGGAAACTGAAAGCAATTTGGAGAGGGCTATGTTTCTTCACATTGGCAATGAGCCGTGTGATGGGTTTTTCGTTTAAAGCTTCGTACCAGAGATTAGTATGTTTTACTCTCCTAACACGTTCAGCTAAGCAGTTCAGCTTGGTGCGTTCAGGAACGGTCCCACGACACGGACGCTTTCCGTTGCCATCGTGGTTTCCAGTCTGACCCAGTAAAACCTGGTCCTTTACCTTCTTGAATTGTGTTTTTGTATGAGCAACTTCAGTAAAATTAATGAGGTTATTGACTTGTAGGGTATGTTATAGTACTTACATTAATAATCAATGAATAGGTCAAGGTTGCCCAGAACAGGTCAAGTCACCCCCCGGAGGTCTTGGAGTTTGGTGAACCACGCCTCCATCGTGCCGACCAACTTGGAAATCTGTCCCGTCAGCGTCTGGATGGAGTGCGTGTTGTTCTGCACCTGGATGGAGTGACACTCACTGAAGAGGGACACAACGGAGTTGGCGGTAAAAAAGAGGGTGGAGTAAGAATCCAGGAACAGGTACAAACTTCACAAACCTATAGTATAGTAGAAGCAGGATAATCTACTACAGCATTCAATGTGGACTCCATGTTTTCAAGGATAATGCTACATTGCCGGGTACCCTCTTCAGCGTCGTGCACTCCGTCACTCAGAAGGTAAGCTTGAGGACAAACGATTGCTGTCCATTCGCTCTTATGATCTGCCTGCCACAAGTACCTTGCGAAGCACAACATACTTAACACGAGTATACTGAAAAAACCTTCAATGCTTGGCATCTGCCCCACATGCATTGGCAAAGAATCCCATCTGCAGCCTGCAGCCTGGCATCTTCCTACTTTGCAAAACGCAGAAGGCGTCAAAGCGAGGCGGCCGTGCGTCGATGCGGCGTGTTCGTCGACCGTGCCTGGCGGCAGTCCTGCACGTAGAAGGAGTCGGCATCGCGGGAGCCCGCCAAAGCCTGGCGTGAGTTCATGTGGACTTAATTGGGGGGGAATTGAGCACCCTGTTTGACCAATAATTGCTTGATTGAGCATATTCTCAGATCATGTGAGTGCCTGATTCATAACCCCCTCCGGATTGGAATTGAACACCTCGAGGGTAATCAGGAGTATATAAGAGTATAGGCCATGGCAGGCGCGTCGATTCATCGCCCTTTCTGCTTTGGGATGTGAGGCTTCACATCCCAACTCGTCCTTAGTATGGCATAATCCTGAATCATACATCTGAACGCGCGCCAGCCAAACGCGCTCACTGAAAGAAAAGCTCAACAGCGACAGCCCACCCCTTCAGGTATCGGCCTTCACCCCTTCTTCCCAACACTTGAAGGGCGAACAACATGTTTGACCGATGGTTTCCCTTAGACAGGAACATACAGGATCCCTTTTTTTGGCAAATCTTGGGACCCAAACTGCAAGAAGACTTTAAAACTGCTTGTCTACCAAATATCAAACAAACACCGACATGTTTCATCCTGTTTCCATGCGTTTCATGTCTTCATTTCGAGTTCCCAGACACCCACCGGCAACGGGCCTTTCACGGGGTATGACACTCTTGCTTCGGCTGTGACAGGTAGGAAGGACCGTGCATAAATCCCTTAAGAACTTGAAGCCAGCTGACTCCAGCAAGGGAGGTGTTTGGGAGCCTCCCTGACAGGGGTGATCTCAAGGAGCCTGGAAGCAAAGCCCTGTCGTCTCCGTGACACACCAAGACCGGGCCGGATCTTCGGTCGGGTCCGACCGAACCGTGAACACCGAACGGCGGAACCGTTGACCTTCGGCTTGAGTCCATGCCAGGCAGGCCATGTTGCCGAAGCACCAGAGCCAATCACTTCAGCCACTTGAGCTCAAAGGATTCAAACAACACAACAACGTGCCGTGCCCGGCCCTCCAGGCCACCGGCACAAAGGGGTGGAAGAAGGAGAGGAAAAAGACGTGACCTGCCTTCATCTTCGTCTTCAAAGCTGAATGGATTGCATCAGAAATGGCTCTTTAAGGTACACGGAACCCATCCAAACTGGTGGACGGGTAGACAAGACCGTGGATGAACAAAGAACACCTCACTCAGAATGGCCACGTGCATGAACCGCGGGTGAACCGCGCGTGAACCGCCCTTGAACCTACTAGGATCTTTTCAAACACTGCTGGGCTGCTGGGTCTCACATTTCTGACTCAGTATTTGGTCAAGTTAATAAGTTAGCAAAAGATCCTGGCCACATGAGGGGTAGCTTGGCAACTCCAAAGACTACTTATTCAGTCAAGATGCGACAAGCAGTATATGCTCCGGTTGTTTCTCTTGCGGTCTGGAAGAAATGCATTTATGAACGTTTTGAAGCGATTAACCAGTGGAAGATTAGCCTTCGTCGTTTCGTCCTCTGTTTCTCCGTTTCTTCGTCCACCGACCACTGCGGTTCACATGGTGTGTCAAGCTGCTGTTGATTCTAAGTCGTGTGGGCGGCTTTGGCTTAGATCAAGCCGGTCTTAGGTCCCAACCCACATCCAAGAAAGCAGTCCATCAAAAACCCATCCAAACCCCCGAGCCCTCCAGGCTGCACCCGCTGCGCACGGCAGTGAACCCCTTCACTCCCGGAATTGTTTGACAAGCGAGGGTTTCCTGTAGATGTTCCTTTAAAACCAATTCATTGATTCACTCACTTTTTGTTCTGCAAGCCGCGCTTGGCAGCGCTACAGGCGCTCAAGACTGGTCCGAAGACGAACATCGCCGAGTTCGAGATGAATCCATGATCATCCTTCATGAGAGGACCAGGGCAACAGTGTGGTCTCTTCCCCTAATCAGGGATCCTAAACTGGTTTCTCCAATCCCGCAACAAGGCTGAAGGACTGGCTGAAGGTTATCTTCTCACTGGGTAGGATAGGCAGCCACGCTATGCTTTTCAATGTGGTCCATTTGTCCCACCTGCGATCTCCCCATTGAGACCATGTGCCAAACACGTCGACCACATCAGCTTGGCACGTGTGGCACGGGAGAACCCGTGAGCCGTACCGGTTTGACCGAAGGTCGAGTCAGAAGTTTGATCGGCAACCAACCACTCTGTCATTCTTCTGCCACAAAAAAAGTTAACCTTCGAATTCATTGACGGTGGGAAGATCTTGCACCAATATATGAAGAACATTGGGGAAAAGAACCTTGCTTCATTCATGTCCTCTGGGTGCTGCTAGTGCAGTAAGTCCCGCTTGCACGGCCTGTCCCCTTTCAGCACTTGAGCCCACCTCCTCTATCCAACGATTCGGCTTTTGAGATTCGTTCCTCGAAGCAATCTTCAATGCCTGAAAGCACCCAGCTCAAGAGCATGGATGACACGGGTACGGCCTCCCTGGTTCTCCATGGTTTATCCTCTTTTACGATGTGTTTTTTACAGTTCCCACCAGCCTTCAAAAGCAGTGCATCCACTAGTATTGGACTCCTGAGAGGTTTTGGTAACCGTAGTTTTCAAACCTTAAGTTTGGAATGATCTGCAATATTCGACAATGGAAATACATGGGAATCGATCAAATCTTTGGAGTTGCTTGGGAGTTGCTAAACATATTGCTTTTCAAGGCGGAAACTTGATGATGGTAAGAATATTGATGATCTATGACAAGATGAACAATCCTCTTGAAAGTACAGAGAGGGGTCGATGTCAATGCATGTCAATGTCGGTTATAGATTGACACACATGCCACACATTTCTGAGATTCAGAAATTTACACTCCTGCCGTGTCCTATGCAGATCGTGCCCCCCATGCTTTCGAGCTGAGAGAATCATCGACACTCTCCGCTTGGTGGAGGTGGCGGAAGCATTACGCAGCGATACATTGGAGCATGGAAGATCCCGAAACGTCACAAATTTAGGAGCATGCTTGCCACTGGGATGAAAAGAATTCATGTCAAGTAGAAATTCTGATACAGTTTCGTGTGAGAAAACACCATGAACAAGTTGACTGGACCCTGAAACTTGTAAGCCAGGATAGTAAGCCCTGTCGGTGTTGCCAAATGTTATAAATGCTATATATATATTATATATTGCGTATATTTATAGTCTACAGTACCTTCTTTGCAGGCTGTTTAGTGCATGAATGCTGCATGTGACAACAAGTGATTCGGCAAAGGTTCAGGCACCCTGGTACACTTCAGGACTTCATTGGAGAGCTCTGATACTTTTACTGTAGACATCTGTAGACGTAGTTCGTGGTCCTCTTATTGCCACCTTCATGTTCCCAACCATTCCCAACCTCCAAAAAACCTCAACAACTAAACCCCTATATAGGGATTCACATGCCTTCTCAGTTACTTGGACCGCACCTACAAACCTGATGGGTAGATGCCCCACCATAAGGGTGGCAGTGGATCCATTCAGCGGCACCCTTGTTCCCATCAACATGAGCCATCACGAGGCAAAGCAACTCGTGAAGCACCCTGGAAACTGGCAAACGTTCAACTGGAAATCCCCAAAATACCCGTCCATCGCGATGCACCAAAATCGAGTGTGTCTGACCACCACTTGAAAACTGGTCTTTTTGCACATCCCCATGTGTTTCTCCCTCAGTTCCTCACTTTTTCGAGAACCTCCCAGCAACTGTGTCATCGGCTTGCTCAGCAACATGCACGAAAAAGGCCGTCAACCAGGTCCCGGCCACGAGCAACGCCTGAGCGCGCAGAGTTTCGGCGCTTGGTCGCGACATTCGACAGCAAAGCCTTTGGGGATGCTGCAAAGAAATGGATCTATAGAGGATCTGCACCGGGGGACATCCACGCCTATTTATGCCTCCATTTGCTGATACTTCAAGCCATTTCAAGCCATTTCCAAATGCCTCCACACCGCGGCTTGAGCCTTGTGCTTTATAAGGTACTTGCCCTTTTGCTGATACTTTCAAGTCTACAAGAACCCCACAGGGGCTTTGTTTCACCGGACTTTTCAGTGCAATGTTCCTTCATGATATATTATTATCAGCAGTGAACAGTTTAAATTACCGCCTGGCCGTCTGGTCAGCCTGGCTGGCAGCGGCAATGTCTGCTTTTCGTGTTTTTCGCAACGGGCTTGTTGACTCTGACGACTCTTCCGACCGACTGACAGGCATCCTGCATAAAATGCGAATGAAAGGAGGGCAGCCAACCCCAGGCAATCCACATATGCCATATGTATCCATATTTACATGGGGATGCTTTGTCAAAGTGGGGGGTCAATGCATAAGGCAAACATATTCCAGTTCCATGGGGTGTCTGGGAAGTGCAAGTCAACTGCGCATGCTTGCCTCCGCCCGCTGATCTGCGGGCACTGTCTCCATTTGGTTTTGAGGCTCTTCGGCCTAAATCTGGGTCAGCTTGAAGCTACTAGTAGCTCCTGGTCTTACTACCAGGAACAAGGACGCTAATTACTAGTAGAAAGGGCATCGCTACGAACGGAGCAAGAAGCTACTATATAGTAGCGTCCTTGCTCCGTTCGTAGCCGATGCCCTGAGTTGGCAGGCAGCTCTGCTTGTTGAGGTCTGCTTCGGCACAAGGCTCTCGGCCGAACTCCGCTCAGGCGAGGCTCCGTCAAAGCCAACGAACTTCAGGACACAAAATAAGCCAAACTTTGGAACGAAAGGGTTTGCCGATGTTTGCTGGGTGTCTAAAACCCTGTTTAAAAAATATAGTTTGAGAACAAAAAGAAGAGGGGGTGAATTAAGTCTACATGAGCCCAGTGGTTGGTTTCATGTAGACAAACTCATTCCAAGGTTCAAACCTCAAAATAAGCCAAGGAGGTTGTTGGATTAGACTATTAGACATACGCCCATCCCCAGACACTCCATGTATGCCATATATGCCGATCAGTTGGGATGGTTTTGGGGGGTCAATGTAGGTATATATATGGCAGTCCCGTGGAGTGTCTGGGAATGTCTGGGATATGTTCTAAGGTTCCGGCCTCAAATTGATGTGTTCGTCTACTCCACCTCGACAACGAGCCCTTCTGCACTTCTGCTGCTGGGTGGCAGGATAGTGTGGCTTCGTCACAAAAGTTCTTTAGTGGCAAACACAAGTCCCCAATCTGTTGATCCGTGGAATGTCCCCACAACCACACAACCACAACAACCCCAACAACCACAACCATACTCGCTTGTACTCCTATCCGGTCTTATCCTCCGTGGAAACGCTGAACCTCGGGCGTTTCGTTGGAACTTCCGGTGTTGAGACCGAAACCCCTCCGGTCCCGCCTCAAAAGGCCTCGGGGATCTCCAGGCCTTCGGCGCCTTCGGCCTTCGGTGGTCGCCACCCGGTTCCGTCGACGGGTTCAGACATCGATTCGTCCAAATTCCAAAGGCAAAGAGTACGTAGAACCGATTGAAAGTCCTGGGTGCAGTATTGGTTTCATATTAGATTCCCATGGTTTTGACAAGTTTTAACCATGTTTTGACCACCTTTGGTGGTCGAGAAAGGCCGCAAAAAGCTTTTCGGCAGCCAGTCAGATGGCAAACAAATCCGGGTTTGGAGCCAAAACAGAATGTGGGACGTTCGGAATCCAGTCTGTGGCGAGGAAGACCGAGCAACGGTGGAAAGAATTGGAAAAAGGATACACTTAGCGACCATTACCATTTCAAGTCCCAAACTGGATGTGTTTCCCTCTCATCAGCCAAGAAAGTTTTCTGCAGGTCACTTGATTGCCTTGACAATTCGAATGGACTCCACAAAGCCACATCTTGGCGATCTGGAAACAAGTAAGCACTGTGCGGCAGCCATATTGACATTAGGGATGCTTTGTGGGGGGGTCGACGTAAAAGTATATAAATTATATAAATATGTAAGGAATTACAAGGATCCTATATAGGCATATTAATCATATGAATGGCATATTCTGTCAGCTTCCCAACGTTCTTTTCGACCCACCCTGGCCTCATCGTCACTTCTCAAACGACTTCGGTTTCACTCCACCCATGCCACGGTGCCCGGTGTTTCACCCGGTGGTTCACCCACTCCCGGTGCCGCCTGGGTGGAGTCACCTGTGGGCTCCGACCTGGGTGGAGGGATCGGTGGGAGTGGCGTTTGTCGTCTAAAAAAGAACACTTGCAGGATCAAAACTTCATGTACTTGGTTAATTGAGTGAATCGAACATGAACCAGGTCGACCTCATAAATCATCATAAATCAATACAATCAATGGTGGGATCGAATCGAATCCGGTGCCATGTGTCAGCGAACGGCGAGCGGCGAGATCACCGCTTGGTGCTCGTGCTGGGGAGGAGTTCCTCCCACGCCGTGCTCCTGCTGAACCGGCAAGTCGACGTTCGACGATCGACGCGGCGGATCCGACGATGGGTGCTCCCGGTGCTGGAATGAAAGCAGTGCTTTCGTTCGTGTGTCTACCTACATCGAGAAAGAACACATTGTCTGTTTTGCACTGGACAAACAAAAAAAACTCACACTTCAAAATCAAACAATGACACATCCAGCATCTGATCTTTTCCTTTTCCCTTGCAAAGTGGGTATTCTTGGATTCTTAGACGACAGTTCCGGGGGGGTGGGGAACAAACAAAACAACACTGCGCAAGTCTAAGTGGGGCACAAAGAGGAGGACCTTGTCTCAGCCGGCTGTTCAACAATGTTCAACACAACTATCTTAAGCATCCCTAGCAGGATAAGATTGAACCTGCAACAAGTTGGCATCCTCTTTTTTCCTGGGCAGCACGTTCTTTCAAGAAGTCAGGTAAAGACCAAAACGAGTTCCACTCATCAATGCATGCTCCTTTCAACACCTGATGGACTTGCGTTCACTCAACCCTGCGACCAAAAACCATGCGTCCCAAACCATGTCCCAAGTCCCTATGCTACAATACCTGTTTTCTCATGGTGTCTTTTAAGTCTTTAAACAAATTAATGATTCATGCATGAATGGATATTCATGGTGAAAAAACATGTGTCTTGACAAAAGCATGGTGTCCCTATGCAACTAAAGGACCGGATAACCCCACATATGAGTCTTTACGAATCTTAAGTTTCTAAAGCACAAAGCAGTCAGAGTCTCAATAGCTTCTACAACACGGCCTTGTCAGGAAGTGATATCAGCTTCCGACAACAGAGGGGTGGGAGAGAAGGTGTAAGAGAGTGATGTGCACGACGGATGTACGAGGTATTGTGTACACAGGTGTGCGCAGCCACAACTAGCCAACAACACCAGCGGTTGTCGCACGTCCGCAATACGGGGCATAATGTACGAAAGTTGTACTACAAAGTCGCCAGTTCTCAGCTTCCACCACAGATTGCTCCGCGTACTAAAGTTGTACTACAAAGTCGCCAGTTCTCAGCTTCC